TTTATGTGCAGCATTTATCGTACCAGTCGTCATGATGCAGCTCTCCCCGCTCCGGTCAGTGCAAGTGGGCGGAGCGGTCGGGCGGTCAGTCGGTCGGTCGGTCGGCCGGTCGGTCGGTCGGTCGGTCGATTGGATGTCTTCATTTTCCCGGACACGTAGAGGGACGATGTCAGCGGGGTGCGATGGCCGGCGGCCGGAGAAGGGAAGTGGCAACGCTGGTGGCTCAGATATAATGCTAAAATCATGGAACATCAGTCACATTATAACCTCTATTTCAGTTAGTGTATGGTCGGCATCAACCATAATAACGGTCAAAAACCAACAAGCATAACTAATTAATGTGCCTCTCAATTTCTTTATTAAACCACGATTCAAACTTCCTAGCCCACGCTCTGGTGGGGGTCTCAGCCAGGCCCAGCTTCACCATGGCACACGATTATCTCGAAAACTTGAAAGGCTAGAAAGACGCAGAAAAAAGCAATAGCTCGCTATATGATGTATGAAAATTATACGGATTATTATTTGATCAAATCATCGTTGCGGTCACTAGAGGTCACCAAAGATAAAATTATCACGAAAAGAATTCAGGTTTTGAAACAAAATGTTCACAGCTCGGTGTATAGCTCGGAAACAAAAAGTGCTAGAAAGGCGTGGAAAAGGGCAAAGTCCTTTCGCTAAAAAAAAAACAACACAGAGTTAACTTCAGCTCAATGGTTTGGCCCACACAAAAAACACGAAAATAGACAGATTTTGCCGAAACAATTTTTTAAACTATTTTTACAATAACTTTAGCGTCAAACACTGCATATGATTTTTAATTTGCCAGCATCCTGTTTTTTTTTCGTCGATAGTGAAACGCGCCGAATGAATTAGGTAGGGGAGAGTGGGGCAAAGCGGCCACCCTAACGCTTCTCACGATGCCAACGCTTGATCTTTAAACTTGGAAAGATTCTTTCTATACCAATGTGATCCCTATTAAGTTGCCTTTTATTTCAACTGCGTTTTATTTCCAAAGGCGTTCACATATTAAAGATATTGACAAAACTTTAAACCTATGCCTATTGGCCACTTTGCCCCATACCCTGGGGCAAAGCGGCCACCGGCGTCTTCTCAAGTCCCGATATGAGAAACAAAATAGTTGCCTCGTGCACGACAAGGGTATTTGATGGTGAGATGGATGTTTACTTTATCATATTCCACCTGTAGGTAAACAAAGAAAGGATTTTCATGAAAAAATATTTAATTACATTATTTGGTAACTCATGCAACTGAAAAGTGGCCAAGATGAATGCATGACGACACATTTGAATATAGATAGTGTTTTTTATCCAGACGGAAACAACTTATGGCCAATTGGGGGGTGGCCACTTTGCCCCGGCCACTTTGCCCCGCGCATACCGTCCGAGACAAAAATATTCCAGCTTAGCTATTAGTGGGGTAAAAAACATTAAAATTGGTAAAATACATGTACGATAACCATGCAATGCATGGAAAAGAACGCTTATAAAAATTCCAAACGGTTATGGAATAACATAACATTTAAAAATTGTAAACATAGTTGCGGTAACCTGGCAAGAAATGCTTTTCCGTGTTTCACAGAATAATGGTGATGGGCCTGAAACCCCGGTCTGGCTCATTCGAACGACCGTGAAGAGAAGGATAATCATAATTGGAAACCATAAATTGGAACTGACGCCAACTATGAAGGGCTAAAACGATGGGTGGTCGCTTTGCCCCACACTCCCCTAACTATAGGTACTTGAAAAGTTAACCTCAGTTCAAGGTCATACCCTGACCGGAAAAGGTCCTGTCGCATATCAATCGATCCGTATTGATGACCTGAATACATTCCAAGTGATTTCATCGTTCTACTATGTCCCCATCAAAAGTTATCGTCGGAAAACTGCTGATAACTTTTTTATGACCTAGCATGACCTTTTGAATGACCGCTTGCCATCAGCTGCACCTGTGCGTTGCAGATGAGTATAATATTCAGCTTTTGTAAATGACACGTGTTTATTCAAAGCACGAGGCAGGTCATAACAGATGATAGATATACCAAATTCGAGACATACAATTTGTTGGTATTGATGCCTTGATACAATATTGAGCTGTAAAATTTTAGAAAACAAACTATAGGAATGACAGGATCACATTTTTTAGGGATATGGTTCCTTAGCTTGACTGACCTCCTGGCATGACCTCAGGTGGTATGGAGTCAAAAAAATTAACGATGAAAATTGATGCATGATAAGGTATAACAAGTATTGTGGCTCTTCATTCCACGCGCAAAACAGAGTGTGACCAAAAAACGTTCGCACTGACCGGGTGAAGTTACGGCTTTCAACGCTTACATATTGTGTAGATATTGTTTTGTGCCCAGTGATGAGTCAATCATGACATTATTTCCTAGTTGCCTCGTTCCAGGTGGTTGCCCAATGTACATTGTAAAAGAGATGTGGCGGGGGCACCTAAGCCCAATCTTAGCACTTATGAGTGGAGCTCTTTGAATCACCCGTGTAAGAACAACTCATCGTCACAACAGCAACTAAACCACCTATCCGCTGTTCACTTTAATGGTGAAACAGGTGCAACGAAGAGAAGCCATTTATTTTTCCATTCACTACAACGTGTTATCATTTTAGTAGACACGGACGACAAATTAGACTAAGAAGCATACAGCTCAAACCATTTCCATTGAATATGACTAATTGTCACTTGCAGCTTCCCTTGTCGCTAAGTATCAGCTCGGCTAGGCGTTACAATCACACGAATGTAGTTTCATCTTCAATCGCCCCGATATGCTCCTCGGTGTGGCTGAAGTCCGGCAGGTGGTCACCCTCCGGGTGGAAGCCGTTCTCGTCGGCCGTCCAGGTGACCGTGTAGGTGACGCCCTCCCATTCGTACGAGTAGGAGCCGCTCCTCACGTAGTTGCCAGATTCTGGTAAGTTGCCAGGGTAGGAGATTCCTTCTTCTTCTGATGTAATTCCGTTCGTAGTCTTATAGCTGCGGGGTCAGGATCCGTTCAAAGTATACCTTACATTGGAAATCCTAGCAGCACATGCGACGTAAATACTTTAGGAGTTCTCGAAAACAGGTCACTGCCGTCAAATGCATAGGGCAATTTCGATTTCGTCAGCAAAAGAAGCAATCCATCATATGAAAATGCAACTGATAGGGGAATGAAAGATACGACAAACAATTATGCATGCAAAATACGTCATTTATTTGAATGTGTATTACAGCCTTAACCTGAAAATGTAAAGCATAAAAAATAAAATGCCGGAACTAGAGAAGAAAGTATAAGTAAATTCGAAAAAAGAATAATAAGACGGTTTAGACCATCCTGGCTAAGGGATTCTTTTAATCTTTTCATGTCTTTTTTTTTCTAAAAATTCTTTAGGAAGTGTTAAATTATTCAAGATCTCACTTTGCTGAATAGCCTCCGTCTTCTCCTATGCCGAAGACAAAGTTAGCGATTCGTGCATCTTTGCTCGGTCTTGCAGCGGCAAAGGCCACAACAATGAGGAGTAGAATCTGAAAATTATCCAGACAAAATACCATTAATTCACTACATTATTTCCACGATTCAAATGTGTCATTAGTTTACCATAAGTGTCATTATTTTATCATGAGTTTTTAAGTTATACCATGGTTCCTAGTGGAGAGCATCAGCATTTATTAACAAACGATGGTTAGAAATTAGAATGATTATGAACTGACATGGAGAATGGAGATAAATGTAAGTGCTCGCGGTTAGCACGGTTAAATTTCCCCCTGTAAAAAAACAAGACGGTGTCGCCAATATATCGTAAACATCTGCGTTTTATAAAATAGCTACGCTACAAATCTTAATTCGTATTAATGCATGCACATTGCACACTATCTGTGTGAGCTTTCCCCATCAATTAATCTCCTGCATACTCACAGTCTTCATCAGGAGGTGCTGGTAGTTCGATGGTTCCCTGGTACTCTGAATAATGCGAGGTGGAACTGACTTATATAGACGCGCGGGGGAAGACATTCAGACATTGACTATCTAGCTTTATGGCCGTGCAAGGGTACTAACAATTAACATGATCATTTAAATGCAAATCGTCCAGGAACCGTTGTGTATCTCAAGGTCACCTTAGGACAACGTGAACCATGTTCCCTTGCATCACCGTGGATTCGTCATGAACATGCAAGAAGTTCAAATACAAGAGAGTTCTTTACTTGTTAAATATGGGACAATCGCGAGAGCCTACCTCACTCCAAGAGGCGCAGCAGGGGACCTCAGCCCGAAGGACGGGCGGCATCGGGAATCGAACCCGGACCCTCCCGAGTTCCGAACTGATTCCTTGCACACTGCTGTGTAATGACGCAATTTTCTAATTCTACGATTTTTAAGAGAAAAGATTGAAGCTTAGTTATTTGTATTGACAGCTAGGGGACACGATTCCACATGAGAGGAAAATACAAAATGGACATTGCATATACATACTATCCTGGGGGTTGGGATGCCACAGAAGTTTCGTAGGCTGCACAAGGACATGTATAGGGACAAAAAGGAGCTTCAAGCAAACATAAAGACAACGGACGGACGTTGCACATTTCACAAACATAAAATGTAGAAGAGTAGCTGATGAAAGCACACATTCTTTAAAAAATCACTGGTGTCTCTTAATTACGTCTTTAAGCACCATTTGTTTCCCCTTTACGGCGACATAGATCAAAGTGAAAAGCGCGTGTATGAGTATTTACCAGTGAGGTGACATGTTATATAAAATATTGTTTAATGATAATATACCTACCACAGCGTAATGACTGAGAGGGACACAAACTTATCACGGGAATATCAAGACCGTATCGCGGATCTCTGTTCATTTAGCATCGTCTATGTTTCCGATATGCTCCGAGACATGACTGAAGTCAGGCAGGTGGTCACCCTCTGGGTGGAAGCCGTTCTCGTCGGCCGTCCAGGTGACCGTGTAGGTGACGCCCTCCCATTCGTACGAGTACGAGCCGCTCCTCACGTAGTTGCCAGACTCGGGATCGTTTCCGGGGTAGGAGATGCCGTCCTCCTGGGCTCTGATGCCATTGCTGGTCTCGTACCTGCAAGGAGATCAACGCAGTGATTACCGAAACCAGTCATCTATCGCTTGTCTTCTCATTGTTATCCATCCCACATACCACTAATGATGCAAGTTTTGCCATTGCTGTGCAATATACCTACATTACTTGACAGAATAACTTGATGAGTTCCACTGGTCTATTTAACTGTTTACTAGACCGGCACAGCTAGTTCGCAATTAATACTCATCTTTTGATCGTCTTATTTTCGCCTGTTCAATGAATCCACTTCCCGGCTACGTGGTCCTCTGTTGTGTCACACTCACTCGGCTGTGTAGGCGCCATCCTCTTCAATGCCGTACTGGTAGTTGACGATCCGGGCGTTCTTTTCAGGAAGGCCAGTGGCCAAAGCCACCAGGAACAGACACAAAATCTGCCCGAGACGTAAGACGAAGTTATCGATGCCATCCACAAAACATGAATAAAATTTCGCACAAAATGCCCAAATCCTTTTCCATGGCTGTATACCACATCGATACACATGTCCAATGAGTATGGAAGAGTCTCCGAAAGTAAGAAGAACATATTTCACGTGTATATCATCTGCTTCTGCATTACGGAATTTTCCAAAACTACGAACATTAGAGTTTGCCACTTAGTAGTACTTCTTTCCACTTCACATAAATTAAGTTAGTGCAATTCAGCGAAAGGAGATCCCAGCAATGGCCCACGCTGTCCTCGTCCACGTCTGTCGGCTACTCACGAGCTTCATCTGGTCGTTCGTGCTGACTCACTGACGGTTCTGGAGCGCGCTCAGCTTCTTTTATACACGTGCTTCGTGTCGTATGCACGTCACATTAGGTCGCATCTATCGGCTGTCAATCGACGGATGGCCGTGGACATCTGCCCCCTCCTCCCCCCATATCGTGATTCGCATCTGCCCGAGAAAGAAATACCACAGTTTAGCGCCATGCAAGGGGAATAATCGATGACAAGGTCGGGACGGTGGCCCTGTTTTATTCATGACCTGCCCGCTCTGATTGCAGCGGTCGGTTTGTCTTTTCATGCAGGTCGTGAGTATCTAGCAGTCTCCTCCGGGATGTGGTACATGTTAAACGACTTGAAGGAAATGAGAAAGAGTATGATGATGCAATACAGACCTTGAACCATTTAGATGGTTTGTCACGATAACAATGTTACGCGATATGCGATCGTAATCTGAGACAACAATGCAAATAAAAAATATTGGGTCAAACAAAGGTAGAAACACATCTTACTCAGTGGCGTATCCAGGGGGGAGGCCAAGAGGCCATGGCCTCCCCCTTTGGCATCAAACATGCAAGTGGGCCCTTAGGGTCACTTGAGTGCAGTGACGTACCCAAGGGGGGCCACGGGGGCCCCGAGGGGCCCCTGGTCACTTGAGGGGCCCCTGGTTATCTGAAGGGCCCTTGGCTACCTAAGGGGCCCCTGGTTATCTGACAGGCCCCTGGTTGTCTGAGGGGCCCCTGGTTATCTGAGGGGGCCCTGGTTAACTGAGGGGCCCGTGGTTATCTGAAGGAGTCCTGATTACCTGAGGGGCCCTGGCTATCTGAGGGGCCCCTGCGTTACTTAAGGGGCCCCTGGTTATCTGAGGGCCCCCTGATTACCTAAGGGGCCCGTAATTACCTGAGACCCCTGGTTATCTGAGGGGCCCCTGGTTACCTGAGGGGCCCCTGGTTATCTAAGGGACCCCCAGCTACCTGAGGGGTCTCTGATCCCTTGGATGGCCCCTGGCCAGTGTCCTGAAGAAACCCTGGTCGCCCAAGGGGCCATGTTTACCCGGGGATTACCTGGTTATATGAAGGGCCCCTGCAGTCACATGAAGGCATTTAGGCACCCGTGGAGCCCCTGGTATAACCGTCCCCCGGTTATCAGAAGGTCCCCTGGTCACCTGGTGGGCCCCTGGTCAATTGAAAGGCCCCTGGTCACCTGAGAGGCCCCTGATCACAGAGCCTATTTTAAGGGAATTTGACTGGGGGGGCAACCTGGAAAATTGTCTTTAATAATCCATTAACCCTCGCCCGTATTGGTGTTTCCAGTAGCGAGCGTATAGGGGGGGGGGGGGTCCGTTGGACCCTCCCCCTTGCCGTTTCGCCCCTGATCGAGCTAGAGCTTCGCGGAAAAAACGACCGTGTTGCCCGTGATAAAAGGAAGCCGATTATACCCAATTTTAAGGTCCTAGGTCATCGGTTGACCTTCCAGGTCAGGTCATTGACCCAAAAGTCGGGAAAATCGGGACCTGTTAGAGCGTCGTAAAGAGTGGCTGCTATGGTTTTTCGGGGTGCTGATCACGAATATCATGTTAGTTATGATCATAGATGATGTCTTCATGCATTTAGGCCAGGTCAGGTCAGGTCAGGTCAACCAGTAAGGGTTTTGCCGGGTATTCGTAGTAGGTGGCAACCGCCTCTGACAGCTTCGTAACATGTTACGAAGGCACCAAAACTACTTCGTTAACAGGGCCTATTTTAACATGTTAACTGGGGGGGCAAATGCCCCCGCACTCAAAAGAATTGCCCCCCTAGTCGTCGAGATTTGCCCACTATAAAAATGGGCATAAAGGAACAGGGTGACAAACATACTACGTAACTACTGTGACTTGTTTTGCAATGGATGTCAAATGAGTCAGTCTGTAAGTAATGACCAGTGGTGTATCTAAGGGTGGGTCATATGGGTCATGACCCCCCACCCTCTTGGGGCCCGGGGACACCACAGGCCTGCCAGGGGCACCACCGGCCTGTCAGGGGCACCACAGGCCTGTTGGGAGCACCATCAACCTAGCAAGAGCACCATAGGTCTGCCAGGGGCACCACAGACCTGCCAGGGGCCCCACCGGCCTCGCAGGGGCACCACCTTGGGCCTGTCAGGGGTACCACCACAGGCCCGCCAGGGGCACCATAGGCCTGCCAGAGGCACCATAGGCCTAGCAAGGGCGCCACGGACCTGTCAGGGGCACCAGAGGCCTAGTATGGACACCACATGCCTGGCAGGGACACCACCGGCCTCGCAGGGACTGGGACACCTTGGGCCTGTTAGTGGCACCACGTGCCTGTCGGGGACACTCCAGGCTTGTCAGGAGCACCACAGTCCTGTCAGGGCCCAGGGGCACCACCGGCCTCACGTGGACACCACCGGCCTCGCAAAGGCATCATGGGCCTGTCAGGGGCACCACGGGCCTGTCGTTGGAACTTCAGGCTTGTCAGGGGCACCACAGTTCTTTCAGATGCACCGGCGGCCTAGCACCATGGCACCATGTTTGGCCGAGGTCGCGATTCGGCGTATGTCGCCTCGCATTAGCCGCGCGTTTGCAGTCTTTTCGTGGTTTCAAACGTTCAAACATGGGATATGATGTAGCTCCCATGCATTAGGGTGGGTGTCAAGATCACCGGAAGGTCAGGTCAGATCATTTACCTTTGATGACCTCGGTTCACATTTTCGAGTTTTATATGTTTCTACTTTCTAGGCTAGTTTTTGGAGCTGAATTCGAATTAAGCAACCATTTGACCATTAACGAACAGGGCTTGTGAGAACACCCCATGGTCTCTTGTGTAGTCACACTTATCTCCAGAAGGGCCCCACACCGGGTTCTGAGGGACCTTGCCGGCCTCTGAGGGCCGTTGCCGGCCAATCAGGGATCAGCTGTAAGGACCCCATACCCGTTTGTTATGGCCCCACGGTCCACACCAGTTTCTGAAGGCCTTCACTGCCACCTCTAAGGGTCCCACACCAGTGCCTCTTAAGGGCCTACTTCGGTGGCTCTGAGGCGCCTTTGGCGCCTCCGAGGGCCCTAGGCCAGCGCATCTGACGACCACTTACCAGCGACTCTGAGGGCCTCCCGGCCTCTGAGGGTCCCTTGCCGGCCTATGAAGGGCCACCAGTAACTTTCAGGGTCAAACTGCGTCAAACTATCTTAAAATGCCATTTGATGGCCCTCATAGGCCAGCGTAGGGCCCT